TGATACTTGGGCAGAAATTCATGGATCACTGTGAAGGTCATGCATACACTTGTTTAGAAAGTTGTGGAGCACTTCATAGTTGATGAGGAAAACCGTATAAAATTGATAAACAAGAAATGTCAAGTGAAAGTTCTAAAATCAGTAGAAAATTTAAAAGTGTTCTAAAATAAAATACCAGTCCTAACGTCAATTGTGGTTTGTGCAATCAATGTGATAAACTTGTATATTCTATCGGTAAATATAATATGTTTGTTTGCACTGCAATCTTTCCCAAATGCAATGTTTTCTCTATGATTACTTATTTTCAGTCTATCATTGAAAGCTGTGTAAAAATTGTAGTACACAAAATATATACAGTTCACATTCAGTGGTCATACACAGCTGTATGAACAACAATTAACAATTTGTGGTTGGGTTTCAGTTGTTTACTTTACAACAATTGTACAGTGTGATTGTCAACATTCCACTATGATAAAGTGTTTTGTTATTGCTTTTATAGATGTGACATTACATCAAGGTTTCCTCAAACATGATGGATTAGAGATGATAATACAGCTGTTAAGAAGTTCTCTTGTTAAACCTGCTGACTCCAAGGAAGTAAGATATTTTAAATCATTTTTTTTTTACGATCTTAAAAGTATGTTGTCGCACTCATCAAATTCCCGTAAAAAGTTGAGAACACTGTGCTGAAATGTTGATACTAAATATTGAGTGTTTTATCTCATTGCAGCAAGAATTGGTTATTTTTATTCCGCCCTGTTTATCTATGTTACGTCGGTTGATTCATCAGAATTATAGTTTACGTCATCAACTTGCTCACGATATCACTATATATTTTATACTTATCAGATGTAAGTACTATACCTAATTGTACATGGTTCCTCTCTAATATACTGTAAACCACTTTAATTTCAGTCCCATGTTTACATCGCTTTAATTTTATGAGACACATTTTTAATAAATCAGTGAAAATGTGAAATTTCATACCTACGAAAATGTCTCCTGTGTACATGTACATATTCATATAGATTTAATTTAGCAGATTTTACTTAGCAAAATTAAAACCCAGTGAATAATTAATGCATTTTACAGTACTAGGCAGATGCAGTCTGGTATCATCTTCCTGTAAATGACATCTGCCACATCTTTATATATCATTACTATTTGTTTGTGTAATACTTTTCATTTTTGTATTTTGTATTTAATTTTTACAACTGCAAAACAAAGACTGACCAAAGCATGAACTTTTTGTGACATGTTTTTTACTTGTTTCTGGCAGGTTCCTTGTTGTTTTCAACTGATGACAGAGTACGTTATGAGTCAGCACACATATTAACATTGCTGTTGTTTGACGAGGTTGCCAGTCTTGACAGTAAAACTTCATCCCCAGCATTTGAAATCAGTTTGACAGGATTCAGCTTACCCAAAACAGTGGTTGACAGGTATTTTATTAATATAGTAGTCAGTGTGTGAAGTGAGAGGACCAGTCATCATTGTTCCAACCAATCCTTATTTGGGTGAAACAATGAAATGTTATCATCTGTGACATTTTAACCGTAAAACTATATTTATTTTTATTTTATAACTTTCTTTCTGGAAATGTTTTTCAATAACTCATTAACTGACAGTAATAAAATCTTCTCCAATAGTTACTTTTGTAATCTAGGTTGAATGTTTGAGATATTGTGAAATACTTTTAAATTTATTTTTGATTGGAATAAATTTTTTACAAAAAAAAAAAACTAGCGAATATACAATATTTTGTATATTTTACATTCAGCGTATAAAAACTCAGTGAAAATAAATTTCACAAAAACCCATTTCAGCGAAAATTAATTCCAGCTTAAAAAAAGTATTTGAACAGTAATGTAAAATGAAAATTTAATATTATCATAAGCTGATCATTTGTATATTGGCTGTACCATGCCACAAGTCTTCAGTTATGCATGTAATGTAAGATTCTCTCATCTCATCTATCCTCTTCGTGCCTCCAAGCACACAAGACCATAACGCTTCTCTTCCAGTTCTGTCTGTCTTATGCACTTCCCCTGACCTCATTCAAAGTTTTCCATCCACCCAACTTTCTCTCCTTTTCCACTGACCTCATTCCAAGTTTTCCATCCACCCAACTTTCTCTCCTTTTCCACTTGTTCTCCTCCATGTTGTTTTAAGCCTGCCCACCTTCCTTTTTTCAATCTGGATGCCATATGTCAAAGCAATCATACAATGGTAATTACTTGGCTTTCTCATAATATGTCCTATCCAATTCCATCTTCTTTGTCTGACCTCTTGACTTATCCTTGGTGTATTGGTGTGATTGTGAAGTTCATCTACTGAGATGATGTTTGGCCAGAATATTTGCACTGCTTTCTTTAAACACTGGTATTGAAAGGAGTCCAATTTATTCTCATCAGTTTTATTCATCTTCCATGACTAATGATTTATTAGATTAAACTAGTATATGTAGAATTAACAACCATCTCTCAGTCTGTAATGTTTATTACTTTTCCCTTCCTAGGTACAGCCTTCCATTCAAGGCCCACAGTCATCATATCATTAGTCCATACAGAGTTGTCACCCCATTATCCTCAGATCCACTACGTACTGGACCCCCTGCAGATATGTTAACTATGGGATGGAATATCGCATGGCATCATGGGATTGAATTACTGGCTGAATTTATTAAAGATGGCAAAAGCCATGATGAAGATGTGTAAGTTTAATAAATCTCAACATTTTAGTGTAGGTCAGTGAGGTGTCTAGGACACACGGGTTCCCCGTCCTGATTCTGGTACCCATACTTTTATTAAGGCGGTAGTACAGATCAGGAAAGCCACGTTGCGTGGTCATTTGACCGGCGCCAGAGCCTACTAGTGCATAGGGCTTTACGGGCAGAACTTAGACCCATAAATTTTATAGAATGGGTTTCTTCAGCATTAGAGCGTCAGCTCACCTTGCTAAATTCCGACCGTCTGAGTGCTCAGCAATGAACCTCGGGCAGATGGGCCAGTTCCTGGTGGCTCAGAGAGTCGCTACATGCAATAAGTCCATACTGCCCTCTTGGCAGGAGCGGTTTCAGCTGAGCGTGAGGCAGTTCTGGGTCTGTGCGCATATCCTACTCCAGCGGGAGACGAGTTTGATCTCCTTCGGAAAAGGCCTTGGGGGGTGTGACCGGCTGTTTGGTGGCCGGTTAGTGGATGCGGTAAACGGTTGGCCGGTTGTGGAAGATCAGTGTATCCAATTGAAGCAATCGTCCGTGTTGGCCAAGGTGCTAGTCCGTCTGGTCAACGGTTCAAACCAAAGCCACAAGGCAGCCCAGGTAGTAAGTCCGCTGCTCGAAGCCTCAACCAGCAAGGATCAAATCGCTCATGGTCTCCTTCGAAGGGGCAAAAGAAGACTAGTAGCGGGAAGCATCAGAGAGAGCCCAAGAAACGCAGCGTTGGTGGTGGGCGTTCTGACGCTTCTGGGGACTGGGCCCAGAAGTCTCTTTGAAGGCTTCGCCAGCTGCCTGGAGATGGATTGGAGTACGACTCCGGGTCTCCCTCCCAGGGGTCCTCGGGCTCAGTCTCCCCCTCTTCGTCTTCCTTTTTGGGAGGATAGAGTTTGGGAAGCACTAGCCCCGAACTGCTCCTTCTCGTGGAATCGCGCATTATGCAGCACAATACCAGCTTGGCGCAAGAGGGTTTCCGATCCCTGGATGCTTGAAGTAGTGTCGCGTGGGTATCAGATTTCTCTTCGGTCTCCTCCTCCTCTGACTCCTCACCCTCCCTCAGGTCTTTTGCCGAGGGACGAGGTCAAGGCGGAGATGATCCGACAAGAAGTAGCAAGCCTTCTGGAGAAAAGGGCAATACGCAGCACAATACCAGCTTGGCGCAAGAGGGTTTCCGATCCCTGGATGCTTGAAGTAGTGTCGCGTGGGTATCAGATTTCTCTTCGGTCTCCTCCTCCTCTGACTCCTCACCCTCCCTCAGGTCTTTTGCCGAGGGACGAGGTCAAGGCGGAGATGATCCGACAAGAAGTAGCAAGCCTTCTGGAGAAAAGGGCAATACGCCTAGTGGGGAACCCTTATGTATCGCTGGATTTTAGCGACGCTTACCTCCACATTCCCATTCACCACTCATGTAGCCGGTATCTCAGATTCCCATTAGAGGGCAAAGTCTATGAGTTTACCGCCCTCCCCTTCGGTCTGTGCACGGCATCGTATGTCTTCACCAGAGTGCTAAGACAGGTGATCCAGCTGCTATACCGGTCATCGGTCTATCTGAACCCATATCTCGACAACTGGTTAATACACAATCGAGACAGGGAGGTCTCATTGAAGCAAGTGTGGTTGACGCAGAAGCTCCTACATGAGTTGGGCTTTTTTATTAAATATTGCCAAGTCCAACCCAATACCGTCCCACAGTCCGGTTTTCCTGGGTATGCAGCTCGACACAGAGCAAGGGCGCATTCACCCTCGCAGGAGCAATGCAGCTCTCTGGTAGAGCTCGCCAACCAACTCCGGTTGACGGGAACAGTGTTGATTCGCGAACTGATACGACCATTTTGGCAAATGACTTTAGTTTGTCGTCTGGTTCACTGAGCAGCTCTCCGGTATAATCCGATTCAGAGGTGCTCACTGGACTACAGGATTTACATACGGAACCTGACGTTCAGGGTTCAATCGTCGTACCAAACAATGACTGCCCTCCTTTGGCGGAAGGACGCATGGTACTTGGAAACGGGAACACCCCTAGATCCGACGACTCCCACGCTGACTCTCATTACAGATGCGTCGACCCAGGGATGGGGCGGTCATCTGAGGGACCTTCAGGTCTAAGGGGACGTTTCTGTCCGCATATTTGGACCGCCACATCTATTGGTTGGAGTGGCAGACCGTCCTACTGTCTCTGGGACAGGCCCCAGATAGTTTTGTTTGCCAATCACAGGAATACCAAGCTCCCGACGTACGTGTCACTCCTCCCGGAGACGAGTACGTACGCTCTATCAATCTCTTGGAGTCGCAGGGACGCTTACGCTTTTCTAACTTCCAACGGGGCACAAAGTGTTGGAGAAGTTGTGACTCGAGCCCACCTGTCTTCTGACTAGGGGGGTGCCCAATTCAATTGGCCTGTGAAGGTCTGGCTCCCAATGTTGCTGGAACATCTATTCGAGTCTCCCGTGGGGTTGCCGGATCTTCCGGATCTGTTGTCCCAGCCAGACGGCACTCTACCGATGAGCCTCGCATTATTCCATATTCACGCTTGGAGGCTATCAATAAACTCGTGCAAGCACTAGGCTTTTCTGCAGAGTTGTCCAAGTTCCACGTTTGTACGAATCCAGATGGAGACCGTACATGGATTGGTGTGACGGAAGGGAGATTGATCATCTCAGACCCTCTATTAGCGAAGTAGCCGTTTGTTTCCTCTATCTTTGATCAGTAAAATCGACAATTCTTGGATATCGATCAGTTTTATTCCCAGTTTTACAGAATCTGCTGGACTGAAACTGGTTTCGAGTTCTGTCATGTTACAATTGTTTTAGTCTTTCCGCTCGAAGGGGCTACGCGCCAAGGGGCTAGCTAATCCTCCTGACTGGGACTTGTCATTGGTCTAACGGCGTTACAACACCCTCCTTTCAAGCCTATGGATAAGGCAAAGGCTAGGTTGTAACTAAGTAAACATTTTTCTTTTGGCTCTAGCATAAAGTAGGCGGCGCTCAAAGATAGGGGCACTTGTCCTTTAGTCGCGGATGTACCTCCTTTATGAACTCACTAGTTATTTGGAAGACTCGGCTGGGCTTTCTTGCCAGGAATCCCAGGATGTGACCCTGAGCCGACCGTCATCCCACGCCACACTTACATAGTAGGAATGACGCCTGGGATGGATTCTATGCCCGGTCCGAGCTCTGAGCTGGTACTGCGACCGCACCAAGGTGTCTAGGGGCAGTGAGAAGCACATGTTTGCCTGGGATGGGTGGGGCAAACAGAGCCACCCTGCTTCGTATATCACTATTTCACGGTAAATTGTTTATACAGTTGTGGAAGCGTATACTTATTGCTTCTTCATCGATTCATTTGGAACGCCACCAGGTGAAGGCACATGAGGTGCACAGGGTAGCTAACTCATTGGCTTTGATGTCTGGGGCCTCGCTCGAGCAGGTGCTTCGAGCAGGGTTCTGGAGATCTCAGAATGTCTTTATTAACTATTACCTGAGAGACCTCCAAGCGCTGCAGGAGGGTCTCTACACGTTGTGTCCAGTGGTGACGGGTCAGACAGTATTCGTTGACCCAGCCCGCACCACCTAGGGGCCCTATGCACGAAAGCGGTAGCGTGATAGTGTCTTCAGTCGAAGCCAGCCTCCTTTGCTTGATGCTGTCGGTTTCGTTCGACGCTATCAAACCCCAGCAATACACTGTTTTGTTGTTGGGGCCCTATTTTATTGTTCAGTTGACCAGCTTTAGTAAGCCTCCCCATATTGGGAGATTTCTCTCAGTTTTTTGACATTTCTTTTTTGTGTCGAAAAATATTATACATTTCAGCCGTCGGGGCTTCCCCACCTCTAGTGAGCATGCTACTCTGCCTAATGAGTAATAAATGGAATTTATTATTTCCACGGATTTCCACAGGTGATGTAGTAAACTATTAGGGTTGTACAGATACCTAGCAGAAAGTCTGTGGAAATAATAAATTCCATTTATTACTTGTTAACTACAGATTACAGCCCCAAACGAAAACTATTAGGGAATATATCCTGTTCACAAAGAACACCCTAGGGTATCATTCCCTATAGAAAAAAGGCCTCTTCTGAGGGGTCACCCTCAGGGCGCTTCACGCCAAGAGGCCAGATCCGTTCATTCTCACAAACGTTTCCGCTGCACCAACAGGCCGCCGGAAGCTTGTGAGGAGGTGGGCGGATTTCCACGGACTTTCTGGTAGGTATGATTAGGTAAACAAACAGGTTTGTACAACCCTAATATTTTCTCCCTACCATTAGATGTAGAACAATTTATAAGACTGTACACACCTAATAAATTGTTTTTCATTCGCAGATTTGCCAGTAAGCTGTACCTGAGTAAAGTTGACAAGATAATAGTATGCTGTAGCCACACAGTAACTGGAATAAAGCAATGTCTGGATTCTATGTTAAATGCTAGCTCCCATTACATGGTGAAGACATCATTGATGAGATTAGTTCACTATATAGTCACTGAAAATATACATAACAAGGGTTGTAACTCACATAGTCTGTACGTGACTAATGTATTATACAAGCAAGATTGGAAAGCTGCCTTTGGAAGGTAAAATACATGTGTTTTATACGTCATATAGTGAGGACATTGCTCTTATTCTGACTATCATAGTTTATTTCATACATCATGATAAACATGCATATTACTCACAAAACAGTCACTGGTTATCAGAGTCCAACCAAACTGTTGTGAGTGTTGTTGTCTTTGATAAGCTACTACAGGGTTCCAAGCCCATCAGGGAAATCAGGGGAAAATATTCTTGATTTTTCCAGTCAGGGAATTTGATAAAAATGTCTAAGATCAGGAAAAAATCAGGGATTTTCTCAAAACTCAAAAGTAGTCAGTCAAACTTTGTTATTTTGTTGTATATATCAAAACAACGTCCATTGAATGACAGGTTATAGTGTTTCGTTTTTTAAATAGGCTACAGTACAAGTAGCTATAGCAGCTTCGAGCCTCAGTGGCAGTTGAGATGGGACAAATAATTTCCTTTCTCTTGTTCAAGAGGCAACAATGAAATTGTTCAACTTGATTGTTGGGAGTGACCATGATCTGTATTGACTAATTAGTCAGCATGCTCAGGCTAAAATAAAAAAAAAATACTCAAAGCTTGTGACATTTTTTGAAACTGATGTGGCATGTTTTATTTTATTTTTTCTTCACTTCAATTAGCCTTTGTATCCATGCACATCCAAAATCAAAAATTACTGAAATGTTTATACTTGTATATTTTTAGGAATCAAGTAGAATAACACGTGTTTTGCCCCATTTTTTCCAAAACAGCTCTTATTTTTTGTAGTAAAAAATGAGAAAAAAATAATAACATGAAACAAATGAAATTCTGACTTTTAACAATCAAATGTCCACAGCAAAACAAATGCGTGTGGCAGCTTTGAGACACAGATTTTATTATTTGGCCATATTACAGACTTTTTAGTCTAGCTTAAATATCTTATTCAAGCCTGGTCCTACCTATGTCAAGGAAACCTTCAAGAAGCCAAAATGACAGATACCAACAGTTGCGTCATTCAAGACTATTCAGGAATTTGTGGTCAGTGATAAGCTTATCCTGGCAAAGCTGGAAGTCTTCCTTGCCACAGCTAAACTTGTTCAGCCATTTCTGAAGAAGTATCAGACAGAGAAGCCTGTGATGCCATTCATCACAGAAGACCTATGTAATATCCTGAGAAGTCTCATGACAAGTTCATCAAGGGCTCAGTTCTGACAGAAGCCAAAACATCCTACAAACTAGCTAGTCTTGATGTCCCTAGACAAGGTGGACCCAGGCTTTGCAGCAAACAGATTGCTAGATCAAGCTCTGAAATCAAAGGTCGCTTCCCCACTAGCCAAAAGCCAGTTTCTAATTGCATGCCTGAATTTGCATTGTGCAATGACACACAAGATTTTGGAAAGATGTTCTCTCAAGTACTCCATGGTACGTACACTGCAAGCACTTGATCTCCGCTTCATGATAAGACACCAGCAATCTGCTGAAGAGAAGATGAAAACTGTGCTGAACAGAAGATGAAAACTGTGCTGAACAAGCTTGTATATAACAAGTGGAAACAAGACCGTGAGTGTGATGAGATAAAGGCAATTCTGAGAGCTGTTTGGGCTGCTTCAGCGTCAATTCAGAATGTAATGTGAGAACTTTTCTGAACGACTGGATAGCTTCTTCCATTCAGTAGTTGGCCTGCTGCTGAAACCAGAACTGAAAGAGTTGTGGGAAGTAATCCAACACCTTGTCACATGGTCAAGCTGCAGTAGAACAAAGTTTTTCCATCAACAGCGACCTCCTTGCAGCCAATCTTAAGACAGAATCAATGGTGGCACAAAGAATGGTCTATGACACAGTCGCTCTTTCGGGACTTTCTCTGTTGCTGACTTTGAGATCACACCAAGGCTCCTGCAGTCATGCAATTATGCCTATTCACGGTACACTACCCACTTGTCTGAACAAAAGGAAGAGCTGCAGAAGCAGAACAAGCTGCAAAAGAGGGCTGCAGAAATAACTACATGAACTTAATGAAGAAAGGGAAAAACTCAAGAAGCTTGAGCACTGGAGTATCACTAACCAAACAAACAAACAAACATTCTATGGTGGCGAAAAGAAAAACAACTTGCTGCATATTCTCAGACATTACTGGGTTTCTAATTAGTAGCTTACATTGTAGATGTACAGGTTCTAATATTTGCTAATCACTATTTCCAGAAGTTATCATGAGAGTAGCATAAGTAGATAGATGATTCTGTTTTATGTACTAACATTTGGTAAAATGGCACTTGTGTGTCTATCAGTACCAACATTTTCTTTGCAGGCAGGTACATTGCCCTCTCTTGTTATACATGAGCAGTTCCTTCCAAGCTACTAAGCTTGACACTTGATGTGTTAAAACAATTTGCCATGATACATCTATACCCTTGTCCTGAAGAGGGAGTCCCGGGGAGGGAGTCTTATGTGAACACTTCCATCTGGCATATAAAGTGGTCACACATGATGGGAGCATTGTATTACCTTCACCCTTGTCAGTGTTACCAGCCATTTTTGCTGAGGCAGGACATTACCCGAACAATTATATATACTTGTTCAAGGGTTACAAGTTATTGTTTAAGTGTAGTTTATACTTTTTTGTAAATACCCACAGACTTCAGTAGTTTTTGGTATCATTGTATTAAGTACAGTTTTGCTGATTAAAACCCTCTATGGCATGTAGATCTTCATGCAAATGCACATTCCAATTTTGTAACCAGTGTTATAATAGGTGCATTAAAGTTTATCGTAGGGTAATGCTGTGATTAATTGATACTTTACTTGGATTACCTTGATTCAACCTCTGTCTGCATAAGGCGAGGAAAGGATGGCTGTAAGGGGAGAAGGGAGGCCATTACATGCCTGTGTTAATAGTAATAATTACTTTTACATTATAGTGTTTTATACTGTAAATAGTTTACTGCAACAACATAAACAAAAACATGTGGCATATATGTTAAATGAGTCGAAATAATTATCAGGGAATATTAAGATTTTATCAAGGAAAAATCAGGGAATTTTGTTTTTTTGAAATGCTGGAACATGCCAACGTGACAATTGGACCACCAAATACGCCCTTATTTTTAATCATATATTAATTTACATGAATGCATGTAATAAAAGGTAATATGTCATCAACTTGATGAAAGTTCAAGAGGGTTTGATACTATAAAAATATTTTACAGAATCAAATATTGGTTATAAAGAGAAGTAAGATTTTTAATTTTTTGGGCACTACTATAAATTCAGTATTAGAAACTTTCTATTAAAATGGTACAATGCAACAGAATGGATGCAGTTTCTATTAGAGCAATTACACATATGAGAAATTGTTCAAAAAGAATGGGTGTGATTTCTATTAGGGATGCGGCTTCTGATACAAATTTTACGGTACTTATTTGCTTGCCTCAATTGGATGAATTTATGAATAATAAATCATCATATGCTGTTTAGTGATGTCATTATTTAACTATGTTATTCAAAAAAGTCTGTAAATCAATATCTGTATGTGAATTTGAATACTGTTGAAAAAAATAAATTTTACAAAAAATGGATTCATAGAAGAACAGCTGATCACAAACTGCCTTGATAACCCAGTGGTTTCATTTCACAGATACTTGCAAGTGATCCCTGCTAACACTGATGATGAGAGTCTGCTTTCTCAGCTGTTGTTTACCTTGTCAGAAATCTTAGACATATCGCAGTCAATACCAGAGGATTTCTATATTTGGTTAGCTGACATCATCATTGACAACCACGCTCCACTTACCAGACTAATACAGAAATCAGACAATTCTACTGATGTTAATGAAGAAAGAACTACCGCTGGGAAGAGGCAAGTTGCATCACATCTCATTATTTTTAAAGTAATTGTAAAGTCATGATTGTATTCATTTAACCCCTTATCCTGCCTGCCCCATGTCCTTTCAACAGATAAGGGTTAATGATGTATTTGTGGGTTTTTTTTAGGGGTTTGCAGAAGTCAATACTGGTGTTTCTCAATGTATTTGCGAAACGACTGTCCAAATCAAACCATAGTTGGTAAGTCCTTACTTCTTCATAACCTAGAACTGGTGTAAAATATAGGTGCTGTATTCATCTTATTTTATTAGTTTGTACACTATTTCCAACCATATCACAGTTCGGCTTGACAGAAAATACACCCACTCTAAAAAATATTGCTCTCCTGTCTGATATATAGTTGTGTTAATAATTGGCTGGTGTTAAAGTACTACGGTCACCCCATACAACGTATACCATGTATGTAAAATACATTGTATGTTCATATGTGCTGTGTTTAATATCAATCATTTTATCATCTACTGAGCAGTCTATAATAATCTCAATTTGCTCTGTACCAACAAATAGTCTTATATTTGCCATTGTTTGTATTTAACAGTTAATTACTAATTGATTTCCAGGAAGTTTAGTAATGGTATTGGTTACATTGGTGGTGAGATAGTGCACTCCTTAGTTCAGAGTCTCAATTTAGCAGATGCTGTACATTTCTATGACTTGCCTTCATTGGAATGTACTCTACAATGCTTACTACATGTAACTGCAAGGTAGGAATTTTTTAAAGATTTAGATGTACCTCATTTTAAACCCACAGGGAATATGTACATACTCTGCAGGTTTATTTCTGTGGGACTAAAGCTATTGTAGCCCCAGTCTCGTCAGGCTAGCTCAGATGAAGGTCAGACCTGAATCAGGGAGAAAACAATTATAACAAAATCAATTTTGAGCTTTGGATAAGGCCGGGTTGAGTCAACTTCTCCACTTTGAGTTTTCTTCTGATGCTGCACAATTTAGATTGGTAAGCGACATATACCAGTGATGAGGTGCTGTTTACACTAGATCAAACTAGCTCTATAGGAAAAAACCACTATCATACAAGTAATCACTATCAACACTACGATATATACCATAAAGGGGACACACACTGTCACACAAATCACTCATCCATAAGAGGTGACAATACCATATATTACGTTGAACTTATTATGTCAGGTTTATTAAACACACTAATCTCTCAAGCTATTAAATGGATAACATCAGTTCACAAGAGCAACAATAAAAACAATACAGTAATGATACCCATTGTAAACAGTATAGGCATACAAGTCACAACACAGAATATTAATGCACTAACCCTATTAACCTAATAGGTCACTGAGAAACTCTATCAGCTGTTCAGAAATATTAATGCATCAACCTTATTAACCTAACAAGCAACGATTCAGAAATATTAATGCATTAACCTTATTAACCAAACAGATCACAGACTAAATTCAAAGCCTATTATTGGACTTTGTAAATAAAATCAATGACAGTATATTTTTATACAGTGGTTAAAAACTATATGATTATTACTGAACAGAGCAATATCATTTATCCACACTTTACATGGGATAAAGCAATGGTATACAAAATACCCTTAGTAGGATATGGTCTGTGTTCACATACCACTAAAGGTTCTAAAGCCAAAAGTCTGTCTTCTAGTTCAACGGAAATAGATTTCAGTAATTTTAACAACGGGTAGAAAAGTATATCGAAACTCAACTCAACTTATTTTCACTAAATCGTCACACAAAAGTTCTTTCTCTAACAGAAACGAAGCTCAATAAAAGTCCCAAATCGACGAATTCTCATCACAGTGACGAATTATGACAGATAATAACAAAAAACCTTACCCACTCGCCCATGGGCAGTGGTGATTGTAACAGTTACACAGGGAAAGACGCAGCAGACAAAATCTATGGTCGATGATCGGAGAATGATGCAGCAGACAAAATCAATGGTCGACGATCGGAGAATTACGCAGCTGAAGAAATCAATGGTCGATAATCGGAGAAGCCCTCACTGGAAAGCTAGAAAGTTGATCAAATTCAGTTCATTACTCTGCAAACAACGATATTTTCATTGCGGACGGTGACGAGCCAAGTCTTCTCCGGTCTTCTTCTTGCACACGACCGACTTTTACACTGCTTGTAGCTATCCTTTGGGGCGGAGCTACGTCACGGACGTTCCATGTTGCTAAGACGAGCACCACTGTACCACGTATTTCTATGGGCTCTGTGTGCGCTGCTGTGGAACGCCGGTGGAGCTGGTGAAAACTTGAGGAAACAACACAAACTCAACTTTGAAGTAATCCTGAACAACCAAATTCATATTTGTTACACACGTAGGGCTAATCTTGTTACACTGTTCAGGGGACTCTCAACAACCATCGCAAAGTACCGTTTTCTGCGAATTTTTGGTCTTTGTTTTCACCGCGAGCGTTGCCAGGCGGTAGAAAATGCCCGGATGTCCGCCCCCGAGAATATGCAAATAAGGAATATGCCACCATAGTTCAAAATTAACAGTTCTTTCGTTTTTATCCCAAGATTGCATAATGCATAAATGAGGGGGAAAATATAAACTACAAACTGATTGAATGTAACAAAACAAGAAATGCTAGAAACCCAGGGTTACACTATGCTGATGAAGACTCTGGTCTCAGTTAACCTAGTCTGTGAAATCACTTTCACAAGTTTGTGCATTCATGATTACTTCCTGTCCCACAATGAAATATTCAGTTACAAAATATTATTTAGGTAAAATTGAAGTACAATTTACACGGAGCAGTAGTGTAGCTTAAACTACACATAGTGGCTATCAGTATGCCATGATGACTTGTGTTTGAACATTTTTCTGTTATCTACTAATGTAGGTCTGGTTGGAGTAATGGAAGTAGGGACCTGGAAAATCTACCACTATGTCATAAATTTCTCTCATCACTATTGGAGGTAACTCATGTCTTTGTTAATATAAGTATTTTGAAACAGATTAAATATAGCAATATTCTTTTTCAATATGAATTCATTGCTTGAATTATTACAAATTTGTGAAAGCCATTTAAATAAAAGATTGGTTGATCTTAATACACCCCAACATGCTTGGGGTTTTTGTCCTGTCGATGGTGATGGTGTGTTGAAATCACTGGTGTGTACACAAACATAGAAGTTTACTGTGAACGAAAATATTGATATCAGTTTATCATTACATTTGACCTATCAATTATTGCTATTTTGATAGCAAAACAGTGAGATACATGTATATTGCAATACTGCTGGTTGAGTTGCTTTTTTGTTCCCAATAAAATGCATTATAATAAAGAAATATTGTGGGTATGACACGTTATTACTCTGTCAGTAAAAATTATAAAATTTCTAAAGTTCTTGTAAGGACGCATTCAAAAGTGTGTGGAAAATGTACAATGTAGCGTATGACAGTAATAGAATATCACTGAACAAAACCTATTGTGCAGGCATCAATTTTGTAAAGTGCTTTTCACTGGTGTTTCATCACCCACTAAATTGTGACAGCAACAGTATATGTAATCAGGCAGTATATGTTTGCATTGACCATCACTATATGCTTGATACATTGTTTTAACATTGATAAATATTTTGATTTAGATTGTATCTGCGTTTCATGTTGGCCGTGGTGGTACTGCTATGTCATACATGGGTAAAGGTGTTACTAGATGTGCTACATTATGTCTACTGCATCTAGCATATGAAATGTCACAGCATTCAACAGATAAGGTACAGTATTTATTCTCAAATACAGCTATTATGATCTAAGACATGATTATGAAGCATACTTTTCCATTGAAAACAATTAGAGATAATGTTTTACATATATTGTGAGTCGGGGAATATCACAAAATTCAAAATGGGAGTCACTGTGAAAATCATTTTTGATAATTCAAAGATTAAATCATGAACAATTTCTAGTTACAGCACATGTAACATTTATTTTGTCTTTCATGAAATTAAAGTCATTTACACTAGAAATATTTGCTCTATTGTGCCAATTTCCAATAGAAGAACATATAAACCCAAAATCACATTTGTTGTAAACTGAATCATTAAAAATGTACTTATTTTGACGACACCTCTGTAATTTAAATAATTGTATGTACTACCAATAAAGCAAATACTGCACTCCAAGCGGGTTTGATATTTATGAGTCATGTTTGTGTTACCTTCATTTTGTATTTGTTTTAAAACCGTCTTTAATTTCAGACATGGACTTCACATTGGTTGTACATCAGACAAGGGAACCAAGATGAGGTTATGAACACAGGGTTGTTATGGTTACTGGCATTATGGTATTACAGAGATCCTGAGGTATTTCTTGGCAGTTGTGTGTTTGTATTCCGATGAAATTATCATAATAGTAGAAAGTGAAAGTAAACAATGTATTGTTGTTTTAATGTAATGTGTTGTATGTTGAAATCTCAATGTGTTCATTACTTGTGCTATTTTCTTGTTCAACATTCAAGGTACGTACTACTGGTTTGGGAATTGCTACTGCACTTGCGTCCACAGAATCAGGACGTATTATGTTAAGTTCTTGCTGTCAGCAAATCCCAGGTGGTATATGGGGAACAGTATTAACATTTTTGCTTGACCAGTCCGAATGCAGTATTGTAAGACAGCAGGTATTAACAGAATTTCATCTTAACAATTTTAAAATACATGTATGATGCAATATTTTTATTTTGTAAAAAGATAAAATACTTTTTTTTTGTTTTGTGAAAAGTTTTGTCAAACATGTATGACAATTTGGTTTGAATGGTTCTTGCAATATGTCTTGGATTCTTAATCCAACCTAATGTTGTATTTATTCAGCTGTGCACATACCGGTATATGAGTATGTCATATGAGCTGTGTTCACGTTACACGAGGTACAGGCTAAGATTTAAGCTGATTTAGGCATATTTGCATTTCGGCTAGACCCAATTGCGTCCACGTACAGGGAGGGCCAGTCGTTAGCACTGGCTAATGGCGCCATTAGTCGGTGACCTTTGGTAAGCTGCTATTTACGAACGAAAAATGAATGACACGCGCAAGGTTCTATTTCTGTTGCGTGTTTCTGTTTCGTTAAAATTTTGAAGCTACGTGCACAGGAACGCGAGAGAAGACGTACCCAACTTATTTGGATGCACAGAAACAGTATACAACAGCGTAACAGAATACAGAGTTTTATTAATGCATTTCGTAGACAGCGAACCAAATTTATTTTGATCAGTGTGGAAGCGAGCGCGGAGTAATGACTGGTGGAATAGTCGTTTTATGAACATGGGACAATGCAACATTCCCCAGGTCTGTTAACTTTGGGAATGAGAAAGTTGGACGTATTTAATCACGTGCATAATTTTCACACCCAAAGGTCGCCACATCGTTAGCCCGTGCTGTGTAAGGAGCTGTGCGTGAACGCAACTATTGTGAAATATGTGTACTCTTAAACACACACAAACACCTACATTTGTGCATATGTATTCTTTAGGTAGAGAGAATATTTCATCATTATCCCAAAAGAACAGATTCTATCATTTGAGAATCACGTCACGCAATGTCTCAATGATGATAATAACTGTTTGTTGCAGGCAGCTGCTTTATTTGTCAATTTAACATCACAATCTATGCCAGATGTTGCTGTTTCCGATCCATGTATTAAATGGCAAGGTCCCTCTGTACAGGATGAAGATACCCATGTAAGTATAAAACAAAGGACTTCACTTCTTCACCATACCACACTTCTATGTTGTATGTGAGGTATGTATGGGGGTTTAAAAACTAACTCTGCAACACGATTGTGCGACTCGCCGAATGTCGATTATTGCACTCTGCGACCGGAGCACGATTCCCATTGGTTGGTTGGTGGAAAAGCGGAGGGGATGAAAGGGGTTACAAAACACATGCACGTTGCTGTTGGCTGCCTTATTAGAGGGGAGGCAAGGGAGGTAGCCGGTACAGTTTTACAGGAAATAAAAAGGGCTTTTTACAACTTACAAGGAAAAAAAAGACGTTTTTACAGTTTACAGTGAAAATTGAATTTTGCAGTGAAATGTGTCATCTAGTCGTTTTACAGTTTAGAAAATGTAATTTCCCTGGATTATTCTTTACGCCTTTTTTTTATTTTGGATGTAAATTCTTGTACGTACCGAGAAAAATGACACATTTTTACAGTGTACGAAAAAAATATTTGATTGATTACGTTGTACGTCTAGCCTGTGATTACAGAATTACAGAATTTATTTTTTCAATTTACGTTGTACAAACAAAAAAATATTGCAATTACGTTGAACGAAAATAACCCCTGCCCCCCCCCTTATTACAATGTAATGTCAGGGAGCTGGTAACATTAACGACATCTTGAAGTTGTAAGGCTTCATCCGCAACTATGCTCATTAGCATAGGCGGCAGCTTTAAAGCGAGTAGAGCGTGAAGTACGCTTCACACGATGTTACGTTCTTTTTTTTCATTAGCAAGTATAATTTGTTATGACTATATTCATCACTTTGAATTCCCAAATAAAGCATGTAGCGGGTAAAATTGTTTCTGTACAATCAATATCGTTTTATTAAGAATATTAAGAGAGAAAAAAACTTAAAGCTGTGTAAATGGATTGAAACTAAAAAGATAGAAAACTAAAATGGCTGTGTCAACGGAAAATTAGATGGGTGCACGCTCTTTGCATAAACGGAAACGATGGCTTTGTTTATTTGGCAGATGTGGACGAGCAACAGATTTCCTGTACTCACTTAATCGCCTGATCAGGTCTCATGCCACTAATCAACCAATGGCTGCTCGTAGCCCTCAATTTAAATGCCTAGCAAGAACCAATGAAATTTTTTAAATATTTTTTTTTCTCAGGTGCTCCCTGTTTGAGGGCGTAATCACCTGGGTCAGAGGTGAGACCAACATGTGTTCTTTTGTTTACTACTTAGCGGCTGTGTACCTATGGGTTTATTCTGTGTGTATTTGGATGTTCTAATCTTGGTGTTTTTCCAGTGATTTCTCTTGGTGCAATCCAAATACAGTAGGTGTGTCTTGTTTACCTGAAATTTGCAAGAGTTTGAGCTGGCCAACATGTTAGTTTTTTTTCATATGGTTGATTACTGGCATGTTGATTTCCCATTTTTGAGCCATATTTTCAACTTCGTCATTTTCATATAGCAATCTCTTCATATGTTAACATTGTCGTCTATGAAAATTCAATTAGTGGTCTCACGTATCAGTGTCGTCATCGGTTAAGTAGTTGAAACTCTTTCGCGTTGATGCGAATATTTCAGCCTGATCGTTTCTTCCAAACCACTCGCGAGGTTGGTCATAATATGACCTAGACGTGCTTGCAATCTGTTGCGACTTCGATGAAAAATCCTTGAAAAATAATTATAAATTGCGTAAACGAAGGGTGAACGCGAAAGTCCTGTAATTTTTCATCGGAATCACAACAGGCTGCGGGCAAGTCTAAATTAGTAAATATGACCCTGAGTTGCAAATTTTTCTTTGCCTCGTCTGTCATTGGCGTCTTTGCTTTCTTTCTTTTCATCGTCCTTGCGTTAGTAAGATGGTGTTATTAAAATAGAATATAGACTTAGAAAATAAAACGATTTCTCAGACGAAGTCTTGACTGATAATAATGCTGACAATAGACGTTAGATAAATATGCATTGTTTGTGACAGGAAGCTTGTCACCCGTTCTATCAGAATCGTCAACAACAGAGTATTACCGGTAGTATACATATACATGTTATAAACATTATACAAATATTAACGAAACTGTAGTAGTGTTAGCGCTTGAGCACTGGTCTTTCAGAAATTTCGAAAAGCTGGGATGATGAATCAAGGTACAAAGTAACCGTTTTATCAATTATTGAAAAATCAAGAAAAATAAGAAAATTTCTCTTCCCGCTACATTAAGGTCAATATGGACCACCGAAATTTGGCATTCATTTAAAAAAATAAACCATAATTTTCAGCAATACTTCGAAAATTATGATACAAAAATAATTACATTCATACTACAAACCAATGCCGTTTTTGTTCACTTTTCACAACTGTTACAAAGTATTTTATATCTGGTGGTTAAAATACCAGCTAATCGATCGTAGACCACAAGTGTTTTTTTCACTGCATGCAAATTATTTTCCTTGATGCACTCAACAAAGTCAAAGCAGACGTACAACATTCGTTGCAGAACGCGTGAAAAGTACTTTGCGTTCCACTCGCTTTGAAGCTACCGCCTATGCTAATGAGCATAGTCGTCGAGCTAAGCCTACAACTCCAAGATGGCGATAACGTTACACCGTAAATAGGCAGTCAAAACCAATGTGCACGTTACACTATTTAATTTTTCTAGCCAGCGGTGTGATGTGTCTAATCACTGTGACCAAGTGTCATTTGTTTGGTTCCACAATTTGTCTTCCATGTGCTTGCCGATCACCGAACAGTGCGGCATGTCGCCGGTACATAGTCTTTACACACTTTTTTTTAACGTATATACCATTTTCACCATTTAAAACTTAATTTTTTATAAGGAAGGTGGTGATCATCGACCGATTCATGCTGTTCGACCCACCAACCAAAATGAACTGTGCTCTTCGCAGAGTGACACTGCGATCCTGTCACAGAGTGCAATAATCAACATTCGGCGAGTCACACAATCACGTCGCAGAGTTAGTTTTTAGACCCCTATACATACATGTGTATGTGCATGTATTAGTTTCACTATTCAATTCAAGACTGAATGACAGCCATTTTAAATTTTGATTTAGTGAATAGTTATCCAGAACCAGAGCCTGCCTTGATTGATTGCATCAAACTTAATGTCAATACATGCATTCTTTTCAAGATGACTCAAAATTTCATTTTTGTCATTCCTAAAACTGATCTTGGTTACATATTAATGGATTTAAACTTGGTACATATGTTTGACATAAGAACTTGATGCATGGCATTTTGCTTTGTTGGTGGTGATTTTGTTTTAATGACTGCTATTCCAGAGTGGACATGCTTGGACTGATCACATTCACACATACGTCATACATCTTGGGTTAAATGTACACCAGTGTCTGATTGTTATCTAATTCAAAATGGCTGAATGACGGCCAATTTAGCGCAAAAAACTCATTGAGTGTTTCAGTCATTCCAGAACCAGACCTTGGTTATGCATTACTGGTACCTGGTTTTGTTCAAACTTGGTTCATACATTAGCGTTATTGGAAACATGATGCATGTCATTTTGTTTTCAGATTGGAATTAATATAATTTTATTTTATTTGAACGATAATGCTATTCCAGAACCATATTTTTGACATACTAGTATGCCTTGACAGATTTTAAAACTTTACACATACATACATCTTGTGACACATCTACACATGCAATTATCCAATTCAGGTTAACCAAATGGCATCAATTTTAAAGCTATAAAATTAAACTGGATCTCAGTCATGGATTGACAAACAAATGTTCTTGAGACTTGGTATAAACATTCTACATGATGTTACTTTTGTACAGGTCATTTGCTGTACAGAGTAGTAAGATACTTACATGCACATGTTTTCTATATGAACTTAAATGAGGATTGTGTCATAACTTGTATTTTGAGCCTAATCTTCCCAGACCACACAGCTTCTATGCAAACACTCATTTAGTCCTGTCATTTGTTAATTACTTGTCTGTGTAATTACTAAATTTGGAATGTATATTTTGTAACTAGATATCATTAGTAGGCCTACCTGCCTTGATAGCTTTATTACATCACTATCAGTTCTATACTGAGATGCCTGCAATGATAAGTAATTACTATGCAGATAGTACTATAACACCAGTCAGTATTCTAGATAATATGTCAACTGTCACTACCTCAACAACTACAGCAACATCTGCATCACCATCAACTCTTATCACAACTGGTGAGTTTCTTTATTTATCATCCTCTTGTATAAAATTAGATGATCAGAAGGGGTACTTAAAATACAAAGATTTACGTATAAGTACTCATGTTACCTTGGAAACAAAGGTTTTGTGAAAATCCCTGGTGTAAAATGATGAATGTGTCAACAAATATTTACTTATTACCAATACTTTCTTTGCAATAGTAACGAGTAGTCAGAATTTTAATGTCTTCTAGACAACTCACAAGAAATAGGGGGATAAGAAAAATACTAGATCCAGGATAAATTATGGTTCATACTGAGACATATACTGTATAAGAATGATAAGATGTAAATATTTATTGCATTTGTGCTCACACCTCAACTTATAATAACCATACTTGAAATACAATTATGTTTTACAGTTGATAATGATGCATTGAATGGTAGTAATGGGGCCAACATAACACAGGATAACAGGTCAACTGTAAGTAATAACACCATCAGCATTGTAATACATGTGTTTTTACAGGGCTCTGCTTGTACACTATTAACTATTAAATTTGTTTAATGATTCACAAAATATCTCATTATCAATTAGTCAAAATTACACAATATGTAGGTACCTTGAGTGGACCTCTGTCAGATTTATTTATGTCATTGCAATATCTTCAAAAATCCTACTCCAAATGCTTTGATAATACTTGATATATGTGAACCTTGGATGAACCTCTGTTAGATTAGTTCCTTCTATGATATTAGGGGAATACTCAAGACCCTCAGGTTGCTTGTAAAGTTCACTAACACATGTACACTTGAGGGTTGATAGTATAAGTTACATCCATGAAAAATTAAACTCACAGAAAGCAAAATGCAGTATTTAAAATTAAGTGAATTATTAAATCAATATATGTATTAATAATGTAACTGTTTGATATTTGACAATCATATTTTAGATGTATACATCTACTCCTAACACCACACACCGTACATCAACGCCATCAACATCAATTGCATCTATGCAAACCAACTCATCCAAGAGATCTTCACAATCACAAGGTAAGAACCATTACATTCAGAATTAAATCAGACTTTGTATAATTCTATAAAATCAGGCCATGTGTGTGATAATTTATATCTCAAAATATATTTGAGCTTGAAATGGTTTTCGTTATTGATAAAACTTTTTTTACCACAGTATATTAAATCTCCACTATCAGAAGCTAGAACTCTAGTGTGATGACAGTGAGTGATATTGCTTCATGCATTTACACATTGTAACCACCATAGATGCATGTTATCCCCCAAAATATGTTCCCCTATCAAACCAATCAGTTATCAACTATTGCATGCACTAAGATTACTGCACCTATTCAGATGCAAATTACATTGTGAGTGTATTTGAATGTTTACCTATAAATTCTTTTCCTGTCTAGTAAGCACACTATCACTACTTCCTTCTACAGTTTCTTCCTCTAGTGGTACCGATGCGAGTCAAGACACAGCTTCCTCCACTGTTCTCAGTACAACTGAAGTCAGATACCCAAGTGTGGTGACACCATCTCTGATTGGTACATTGTGCCAGTTATTACGTAATCTCATCAGCCTAGCCCCTCATGATGCTACCATGGCAGTCAATAAAAACAATTTACTCACCAATCTGCTCAGGTATGTAATATTCATAATTTAATCAGCTGTGTTGGTGCTAACATAGTCATTGCTTGTGAAAATCTGTCTTTGAAAAATAATGAAAACAGTTCTCACAATAATGGTCTCTATGCTGCTGTGAAAACTGTGAAAATTATACATCATTTTAATCTTCAAGTCTTTTATGTACAAAAGACATAAATGTACATGTAGCAGCTTTCTCATGTGTGTATTACCGTATTTATCTGTGTACGCGCCCAGGGCCCTGAACATGGACAATTGCCAAAAAATATCGATCGCCCGGGTATCCCCCTGCGAAAAACAAAAACGGAAATCTGTTAAAATTGACAACACACAGATCGATCTGCCGCAGGGAATAGAAAGTTGAATGAAGACGTGCAACGGAAATAAATGAACAATAAGCAGCATTAGAAGTGTAACAAGAAATAATTTATTGCTTAGAATGTGACAAATAAACCAAAAATAATAAAATTCGACAGTGAAGAATCGTCTGAATTAGGATTTCCTTGCCGGCAAACACGTTAAACTGTGTAAAATTATTTCCGGTTTTGACAAATACCGGATCAACAGCCAAACATGGCAAACGACTTGCACGATCCTTTTGTTTACTGTTTGACCTTTAAGCATCTGCTTTACCTATTGGCTAAAATTGACTAGTGTTTCATTATAGTGGTTAAGTCAACATCGCTTCCTTATCGGACCAGGCACTCATCAATCGTAGTGGAATTACCATTCAGCAAGTTCTGGTGGTTGGAATCATGTCTCACTATGGATATCGCGTTGGGCTTGAAATAGGAAGAATTTTTTTTTCCAACGGCAGAAGAATATTTTCCATGACAGAAATGCAATAGCTGTGATGAAAGAAGGCAAAAAACTTGGCAGTCTTTGGCGTAACATTGCAAAATTACTGGCCCATGGATTCGCAAGCTGCTAGCAAATATTTTATTAAGCCAAAACAACATGGTTTCAACCTCTCTCCCAGGTATGGGTTGATACAATATTGCAACATTTGTTTCATTGTCGATTATGCTAAAGCTGAACAAGTGCGACACTTGCTTCGTAGTTCTCCATATGCTGTAAGATTTGCATGAATCGTTCCTAAAAAAACACAAACGAACGGCCCTTTTCAGGGCAACGACATACTTCAAAATGAGAACTACCGTTTTTGCTTTAATATACATTTTTGTAGACTTGCTGAGTGTTCTGATTCTGATGGAAAAATCTTGAAAAATAAATGTAAACAGCGCAAACACGCCCTTGGGCAGAATGTGAAAAGAAAGGACCAACTTCTTTATTGTATCAAGATTGGGGGGTGAGCGTTTTCCCGGGCTTGGGCGCTTACCTGAATAAATACAGTATAAGCATTGGTTGTATTTTGACCACAACATTTCACCATTTTACACAAATTACGATCAATAAATGGTGAATTCCTGTGCATGTATCCTTGATTCCAGACTATTAGATGTTGATTTATTAGAAGGATCACTTCAGCAGTTGGATGGAAAAGATGGCATACTGCTGGTGGATACTTTGCTTCAAATGTACAGTGATGTCTTACTATTTGTTAAAGCAATGTTACAAAGTGATACACCAACAAGACTGTCAGTATTAGAAGATACCATCGTATGGCGTAAATGTCTACAGTTGCTGAGTCTAGCTGGTAGACAATGTATCAAAGGTATCAATTGTATCTACTCTTGCACATTTATGGCACACACATCCACCTTTTCACCACCAGTTCTCTCTTTTCATCACAAATTCAAAAAAATAGTTGTTTATAGTCTGCACTTTCCTTCAGAATATTGGGGCAAAAAATGCCAAATTTGAAAATTTTTAGGGTTCATTTCCAGAAATAGTGAAGAATAAAGTAAGTAAGTGAGTGAGTAAGAATAAATTACCTGTCTAAATAGTTAAAAGTGGCTCCTCGACTATACATGTATATGCTAAATAGAGCAAATAAGTATGCATAAACTTTAAATTGCACTCACAATATGACTTTTATTTTCCATAAAAATTTTCCATAAGCATTTGCCTGACTAATTGAGCAAAATTAAATATTGTCAATTGGAAATACAATATTTCACCACATTTGTAAATTTCTTATAAAACTAAAGGGATATAATTGTTATTTATATCATGCCTTATTATGTATACTTAGATTGCTGTCTAGAGTTATCCTGTCATATGTTAGTGTCCAGTGTGTTTAGTCTCTTGACATCTATGGTACAACTAGAAGAAAGCCGTGCTCTTAAGGCAATCCTACCATCCATGGCTAAATATTGGAAAACTATTATAGGTAAATATCATACATACTCAGTTATTGGAAAATGCTGTTGAATGTGAGACACACATTTTGATGAATTTCACAGGAAATTTGTAGCAGTCACCATTTAATCATCATGAATACCCTCACATTAATGGGAGTCTTTGCAGTTGGTATGTATGTCTGTCTGTCTGTCTGATGGCCATTTTGTTGTATTCTGTGCCCCTCATTTCGCGATATTGAGAAAATTCATCCTGTGCCTAGTTCAAGCTTTTTAAAAATGTACAATCATAGACTGCAATGATTTTCAAGCCTGTTTATCAACGCAATCAGGATGTTTTCTCCTGAAATACTGTTATATAACATTCTGGAAAATAAGTACAAAGCCATTGGAAACAAGTAAATTAAAGTAATCGGCTAGCTATAATTAGGCACAATCGAGAGAGATCATTATCTGGGATATGATATAATTGGTTGAATCATAAAAACGAGAAAGAAACTACGATTTCAAGATAAAAAGGTGCAGACGGCCGTTACATGCTCCACACAGTGAGAAGGTTTATTGCACAGAGAGCCTAGAAACTATAATCAACTGTACGCAGTCCCCATGAGCGGGGGGGGGGTGTCAATCGGCTGGTATCTAGTGTAAGAAATAGAAACGGGATGAAGCCCATATTTTTTAAACTCGGAAAAACAGACGAAAAGAATGAAAAATATAATCTTTAAAAAATAATAGCTTGAACAATATTAGTTACTCTTTCAAATTTTGCCAAAGCCATACCTATATTTTACTGATATCTGCAGAATAAATCGTGAAAATTACACAAATTTACTCTATTTATGGATAATTAATGGTTGCCCCAAAAACATGGCACGGTTGGAGGCGTGGCCTATTCAGAATTTGTCAAGAACCAATCACAAGATTCGTTATGAACCACACCGAGTTTACGATTCAGTTAGCCTCGCTCAATTGGTTCGTAACCAGTCTGTGGTTTATTGTAGTGTTTTGTAAACAGTGTCTCTGTTCATTCTCGCTGCCTGTCTGGGGAAAAATAAACACTCACCCAATCATTCTGTTATAGTACAGTTTATCTAATTCTTATTCAGGATTTGGTGGCCCTCATACAATTCTGTTTTTATTTCGCAATAGTTTGATCGTCGTCAAATTCTATTGGTGCTAAAATGCGTGTTTTCAGCTTACAGAACGTTTTTTTCTCGCTTAAAGGTATTTGGCCAATCAAAAATCATAATTGAGGTGAGGTGATTAACATATGACAACAGTTTGACCTCGAAGACGCACTTACACAATCATTTTCAGACATTTCGAAAAAAAAAAACTTTCGTAAATTAATTTGCCAAACCTAAAACATGCAAACTTTTTTTTAAATCGCATAATTCAACAAATAAAAAAATCGGTAATTTTGTCCTTTGTTTTGTGGTCTCAGGTGATTTCCAGACAGTTTGAAATTTTGGGAAAAACGTTTTTTTTTAGTTGCCGTTCGGACTCAGTCCGAGAACTGGGACTTATGTTTTGACTTGCGTGCATGTGTGCATGCGACCTGTATCTTAAAAATGCCTGGACCAATCATAATCAAACTTGACACATACATCATACATGATATTATACATATGCACGTCAATTTATTTCACGATCTGATTCAAGATGGCCGAATGGCGGCCATTTTTGTGCTAAAAATCATCAAAATTAAGCATTTTTTGGCTGTTTACAGATGGATTTTGTTCAAAATTGGTATATACGTTAGACATTATAGGACCTTGATGCACATCATTTTGTTTTTCAGATAAGATTCAAAATGGCCGACTGGCGGCCATTTTGTTTCAATGAATGTGGTTCTAATGCCATATCTCTGACTTGCTTTGACTGATTATGTTCAAATTTTAAATATTCATTATAGATCATGTCATAGATATACAGATATATTGGTTTGACGATTCTATTGAAAAATGGCCGAATGGGGGCCATTTTTGTGCTAAAAAATCATCAAAATCAAGCATTTCCCGGCTGTTTACAGATGGATTTTGTTCAAACCTTGTACGTACATTGAACATTATAGGACCTTGATGCACATCATTTTGTTTTACGATCTGATTCAAGATGGCCGAATGGCAGTCATTTTTGTGTTAAAAAATCATAAAAATCAAGCATTTCTCGGCTGTTTACAGATGGATTTTGTTCAAACTTGGTATATACATTAGACATTATGGGATCTTGATGCAAATAATTTTGTTTTTCAGATTAGATTCAAAATGCCCGACTGGCGGCCATTTTGTTTTAATTAATGTGGTTGTCGTGCCATATTTCTGACTTGCTTTCATTGATTATGTTCAAATTTTAAATATTCATTATACATCATGTCATAGATAGACAAGATATATTGGTTTGACGATCCGATTCAAAATGGCCGAATGGTGGCCATTTTTGTGCTGAAAAATCATAAAATATCAAGTGTTGCTGGCATTTATGGATGGATTTCGTTCAAACTTGGTACATACATTAGACATTACGGGTTCCTGATGCACATCATTATATTTATACGAAGTCCGAAAACGGGGACTTATAATTCAGTCTTCGTCCGTGGTCCGTCCGGAGTCATATCTCAGAATCCCTTGGACCGATTCTGTTCATTCTTTGCATGTGCCTAGTACTTTATGTGGGACATATGCACATGCAGTGGTTTAGTGATTCGATTCAAAATGTCTGACTGGCAGCCATCTTGTTTTTTGAAAATGTTGTATTTTGGACATGCTTTGTCAGTTTTCATTCAAACTTAGTACATGGATTATACATATTAGGATACATGTCCATGACGATTTATTTCACAATTGGATCAAAAATGGCTGACTGGCAGCCATCTTGTTTTTTGAAAATGTCGTATTTTGGACATGCTTTGTCAGTTGTCATTCAAACTTGGTAGATAGATTATACATGTTAGGATACATGTCCATGACGATTTATTTTGCAATTGGATCAAAGATGGTCGACTGGCAGGCATCTTGTGTTTTTTTTTATGCGGTATCTTGGACGTGCTCTGTCAGTTTTCATTCAAATTTGGCACATACATGTACTTTATAATTGTTAGAATGCATGTCCATGACAATTTGTTTCAAAATCTGGTCAAGGATGGCCGATTGACAGCCATCTGACTTTTTGGCCTTACTACTATATTTCCACAATTTATGTACCATTTTTATTCGTATTTGGCACATACATCATACATATCAGTGTGTTTCATAATCAGATCAAAGATGACCGAATAACGGCCGTTTTTATTTTTGGCCATATTACTACTACACGGAACACATGTTTTATTGTAAACAAACAATCTGTTGTATACGCCACTTGGAACTCAAGTTTCAAGGACACGCTCGCGACAACCCCTCCGCTTTAATATGACGAGCACAAAGAGAACTTTCAAAAATTTAACGGGGACTGTGTCATTTTCAATGACTTGTTTTGACTGACTCTGTTCAAATTTTCAATATTCATTATACATCATGTCATAGATATACGGATATATTGGTTTGACGATCCTTTTCAAAGTAGCCAAATGGTGGCTATTTTTGTGCTAAAAAAATCCTCAAATATCAAGCATTTCTTGCATTTATGGATGGATTTTGTTCAAACTTATAACATACGTTAGACATTACAGGTTCCTGATGCAGGTCATTTTATTTTTCAGATTAGATTCAAAATGACTGACTCTCGGCCATTTTGTTTTAATGATTGGGCTTCTACAGCCATATCTCCTAAATGCTTTGACTGATTATATTCAAATTTTATATATTTGTTATACATCATGTCATATATATATATATATACATGTATTCAAAATGGCTGATTTTGAATGCTGTTCCAGAGCAATATCTCTCAATACGTGACTTGTTTGACGATCAGATACAAATGTCCATCATTTTAATGTTAAAAAATCATATTCCTGACATAGTTATATTCCAGCTATAAACAAAACTACATATCTTAAATTTGATAACTAACGGGGACTGTGCCATGCATGGCTTGTTTTTTAAAGATATATGTGAAACTAAAACACTCCAACGTTCTTTAAATAGTATGGTACAAGTAAAAATTACGATAATTTGATCAACAGATGTTTTATTTTTTCAAAAACTGGCAAAACATATTCTCAAAGACAGCTACATCATGATCCCCAAACGTTGCCAGTACCAATCACCCCACGCTCACCAAATTTCCCCCACGCTAGCAAAACAATCTTCTGTCTTCTACTGACTTCCTGTTCCCGTTCGTCTTTGAGAATGCTGATCCAAAACAAGTCCATGCAGCCATTTCTGGTCCTGGGTGATTTTCAGACAGTTTGTAAATTTCTGAACAACAACTTTTGAACACTAATTTACCCAACTAACAAACACTAACGTTGAAAATAGTATGATTTTAGTCATCACAAAGAATAATTCCTGTATATACATTAGTTGTCGTTTTCCGAAATAGCTAGTAGGGGAAAAAAGTCTGATCTATCAAGGTTACTAGTAACCGTTGGTCTATACACTGTTTATTATTTGAATTTTTCGCAGCCTCCAACTGTGCCGTGCTTTCGAGACAAGCTTTAATTATTCATAAATGGAGTCAATTTGTGTAGTTTTTTTGATTTATTCTGCAGATATCGCGTCAACATTGCCAGTGGTGGTGAATAAACATTGCATTGTCTTTGGAGAAACTTTTACGCACAGATTGAACTTTGGTTGTTTTTGTAGATACATGTACTAGTGAGGTTGCGCTGCAATTTAACCAACTTACATGACATTCAATGTTATTTCGATTTCCGTATTTGAAAGTTTAGAGTACATTTCATAAATTACGCAATTATTTTTTAAACGCAAAATAATAAGTACAATGAAGTGAAACATCTATATTGCATTATTTAAAACAACTTTGCATTGCTTTTCGAAGGCGCAGAATAACAGCCCAATTACTAGTGAACAATTTCGATAAAAAGGACTGGAAACTTAAAGCGAACCTAAATGCGGCCTTAATTTATAGTTGTGTATTTTCTAAACTGTATTCGAAATAATATTGCAGTGGTTTAATTTTGTTTTAATTATAACTGTAGCTTGGATAGGCATTTGAAGTGCTTGCAATTAAACACCATGGAGGCCATCCATGGAGGTGAATAAATAAATAACGAACGAACAAAGCTATGACGTTTTAGTATCTGATCGCATTCGTATACGCCATTGTACATAGCCGTTCATGCTGCCAAGCGTTGTGTACTATTAGTATAAACTCAACTTTTATATGCACAATGTGCTTTTTACAACTTGGGTTAGAGCATTATGCATTTGAACCACAGTATTCTGAGATTGGAAGCCCAATTGTGTTATAGTACCGTACTTCCCCGTTCGTAAGCCCCTCCCGAGTATGAAGCCCATCCCTCTATTTTTACTATGTATTTATCGAGTTGAGGACATTCACGATTATAAGCCGAGAGTGTTTTTACTGGGCGTCGACATCTTTAAAATATGCGTGTAAAAAGTGTGTTTCATTTCATAATAATCTTGATTGGCATGGTAGTTTGGTTCGTGCTTTTATGAGACAACTCGCATTAATTTCAGAGTTCATGGCGCATGTACACAACATGGTTTGCATCCTTTCTATTCTGTCCTTTACCCAGGATGAACCCCGATGTTACAATACTGGAGTAATCCATATAGTAATAGTTTTTGAAAAGCCAAAAATGTGATCGTTAAGTCGTGTACCTGGTTATTGGGCATGGTTTACTTTGAGACTATCATGAAAGGCCTAGGGTTTGAACGATGTAACATGTTGGCGACCGTGAAAGGTGTTTAAATTCTTCCTCCACACTAAGTTTTTAGGGAATAAATCATCGTTGTTTCGTCAGCGCTCCAGATCGCATTTTAGCATTGCGGTAATTCACTTCTGCATTGCGTTAAAAAATCATCGTCAATAATTGGACAATTTCATTATTACGACACATCGTTTTGATTGGTTAATGCAAGACATGCCCTGTTAGGTCAAAGGAAGTTGTTTCAGGTCAAATCGTGCTGAAAAACCTCATGATGAAAAATTGCTTTGCGGAGAGTTTGCGTACAGTCGAAAATATACCAAGACGAAGATAATGATAAATGCCTTTGACTGTTTCCCCACAGACCCTACCCATTACTTCACCGTAAATTCAGACGGTATGTAAGTCGTATTGTAATAAAATGTGTGTGTTTTTATGAACATGTTTGTTTCTTCATTGTGAGTGTCGTGGAAATCAATGACGCATTTTTTTTTCAAAAATAAGTATTATTTTCTCGAGCCCGGCGTGGTGAACGAATAATTTTTTTGAATAATTTTTCTTTGTTGGCAAGATGGTTACAGTGTTTAATCACAAAACAAAATCTTTTCTGAGTTGGTCCTCGAGTATAAGCTCATCCCTTATTTTTCCCTTACGTGTTCATGCCTCCAGGCTTATGATCAGGCAAGTACGGTATACTGTGAGGATTTAGATCAGTCCAGTGTGAGTGAAGAGAGTATATCATCAACGATGCCCCTTGTTCGGATGATAGTTTTATTTCAAATTACACGGAAGTCTGTGAACAATCTGCTTGGTGTTCCTGTGACAATTGTCCCATGATTTCAAGTTGCCAGTGCAGCCCCGTGAATACATGGACGAAAATGTTTCCACCACCACTCTACAAATTCAAGATTGCATTCTCCAGCATCCAGACTTTGCACACACAGTGCAGTACTGGAAACAACACTTATTAGACAGTTAGACAAAAAAAAAATGTCCGTCTCAATCAATCGCACATCCATCATGTTTGTATGTTGATACGCTTGTAAATAACATTAACGTAAAAGTCAAAACAACCTAGACTAGAAGTCAATTCACCAGTCCAGCCAACTATGGCTCTCTAAGTCATCATGCTTTGTTACTTTTCCTGTTTATACCTTATGAGGGCATTTTATTTATGGCAAGATGGCGCAAACGGAAGTCCTTCGCAGGTTTATGGTTTCTCATATTTAGATCATCATGACTCTGAAGATAATCATTTTTTTTTAGCTCCGCTGTTGACTTTGTCGAGCGGGGCTTATCATATGAGTGATTGTCTGTCGTCCGTGTCAATGTTTTACTTTTTCGACTTCTTCTTAAAAACTATAAGCCTGAATGCTTTGATACTTAGTGTATATGTACCTTGGGTAGACTTCTCTTAGATTTGTTCATTTCATGGTGATATCTTCAATTCTCTAATTTTGATGAATATTTTTGTCATTTTTGGTAAAAAGTGATATTTTCGACTTCTTGTTGAAAACTGCAAGTTCAATTGCTTTGATATTGCATATACTACATGTGCACCTCTCTCAGATTTGTTCATTTTGTAATGATGTCTTTAGTTCTCTAATTTTGGTGAATATTTTTGGTAAAAAGTGATATTTTCGACTTCTTGTTAAAAACCGCAAGTCCAATTGCTTTGATATTACATATATAGGTACTACATGTGGACTTCTCTCAGATTTGTTCATTTTGTAATGATATCTTTAATTCTCTAATTTTGGTGAATATTTTTGTGATTTTTGGTAAAAAGTGATATTTTCGACTTCTTGTTAAAAACCGCAAGTCCAATTGCTTTGATATTACATATATAGGTACTACATGTGGACCTCTCTCAGATTTGTTCATTTCGTGATGATATCTTTAATTCTCTAATTTTAGTGAATATTTTTGTTAAAAAGTGATATTTTCGACTTCTTGTTAAAAACCACAAGTCCAATTGCTTTTATAGGTACTACATGTGGACCGCTTTCAGATTTGATATCTTCAATTATCTAATTTTGATGATTATTTTTGTCATTATTGGTGAAAAGTGATATTTTTGAATTCTTGTTAAAAACAGCAAGGTTACATATTGTTCATTTTCTAATGATATCTTCTGTTTTTTAATTGAAATGTGGAGCTATCTCAGCCGACAGGCTGCTTGTTTATTTTTTCTTTTCAAATTTATAATCAATATACATAACTTGATAAATACACCAAATTAGGCTCTATTTAGTTCCCCTTCAATAGATCAAGAATAGAAACGTTGTTTAAACTTCTTAACAATTGACCTAGAATACAAAAATAGTACGTGAATGAGGAGAGCAGAATGATTTGTTTCCAATGTAGTTTTATACTCTTCAATGCCCCTGCAAATGTTATAACAGTATTTCACATAAAATCATTGCCGTAACTTCATTTTGAACCTAGAATGGGGCACAGTATGCATTTTCTTGATGGCGCAGAATGGGTGGCGCAACTAGTGGGTGCACAATGCTTATTTTGAGAATTGATGATTCTAATTGCGATTCTCAATTTCATATCGCTGGTGTGGACGGCGACAGATTGTTTTGGGTCTGTGGCTCTCTGTCGTTTTCTTGGTCGCATTTTGTTTATACCAGTCAGACACTGATAAGTAAACGGTCCGGGGCATTGTCAATATGGTCATCATACAAGCAAATATTCAGATATTTATGCTGCAGAACACAGTATACAATGACTAGAAACAGTGTAGTCAAATCAGTAAGCAAAAGATCCTATGGTATACATGAAAATGTAACTACACAATACAAAAATAATGTTTTCTTTTGTCCAGGCTATATAATAAATTCAAATATTATTATTTCATGGGTATTTTCGTGAGTATACCTGTATGTATTAAAATATGCACACCATTAAAATGATAAAAACCTCAAATACAACCATAGTACACAAGTGACATGCAAAGTAAACAAAATTATCAAGTGATTTTGGATTTGTTAACAATTTGCCAACATGCTGTGCCACTTTATCTAATTGCTGGTGGGAATTGCGAGGCCAGTTATGAACTATAAAATTATGAACTATTATTAAATATGCTCAGATTAACACTAGTTATTAATGACATATAAAACTCTCAATTCTCAACTCCAATGAAAATACCAGTTACTGCAACAAAGCCCTAATCACTGCGAAAGCTAATTACTACAAAAGACACTCACAGCTACGAGTCAAATCTAAACAAATTATTGTGGTGAAAAATTGAACATTTCACTGAATTTGTTAGCACTAAGATGCCATATACCATATTATGACATGTAAAATTTGGAGAATTGTGAGAATCTTGGTGGTATGATATTGATCTTTTCTTTTGTATTAATAAATTAATTAAAAATAAATTTGTTTTCTCCCAAGCAACAAATTTGCTGATATTGTAAATAAAACCAAAGAGATATTAAATGATTGTCAGTTTTTGTTCAGTATAATTTAAAAGAAAAATTTAGCGATGACATGAGTCGTTTCAAATTTCTGTAAACCCAAATAAAAGTTAAAAGTTGCCTACTCTAAAACTTTTTTGCCCATATGAAATTTTTTTTTATCAGAGTGTAATATATTGTATTTTTTCATAGATTGCATAGTGCATGTGATACGTAGCAGTACATCACTGTCTTCTACCAGGGTGTCTGTACTGAAATACATCACTGTATTATTGACTGTGGAAGGTGTGAAACAAACACAGGATAAAAATATAATGTTCCTTATGGATGGTGACAAAAATAGCTCTGTGGAATCAGGTAAGAATTATTTAAAGTCGTATTGATGATCTTGTTTGAAGCCATACTGTAGAGTAATATCAAGTTTAGTTATTTACTATAAGTTGTCCTGATTGTAATTGCAATCATACAGAAATAAACTATACGTAATGCATTTTGTTTTTCCACTGTAGATGAGAGTGTATCAAGTGGCCAGATACTGTGTGAGGTTCTGCTGTCTGCATATGACTGTACTTTACCAACATCTAACAGTGTTACAATTCAGGAGAAACACCTTATTGGTAGTGCATTAAGCACTCTACTAGCTGTCAGTCATACCGCAAAAACATTTGCATTGGAAGGTATGACAAATATACTAACATCCGTGTTACAATACTCAATGTGGATTGATCTCAACAAATGATGACATTACAATTTTGAAATATTGAAAGATGTTATATTCATAATCTTGCGCAGTCAAATTGTATTGAAAATGGATATAATCTTTCTGTGATCGTTAAGTGTTGAACATTTTTATTTACATGAAGCAATGATTGTTTACATTTCTCTGTTCATAGCTGGTTTAGTGGAGAGTACAATAGATCAAATCAAGCATATCCATGTGAAATTAAACATGGATTCCTTACAGATTGGAAAAACATCATCTAAGAAAAAGGTGAGATAATTTCACTTTGCAATTGTAGACTTCAACCAACAGAAGTTGACTTTGGTATTCAAACTAACCGGTTTTGTCTGATTTGTTTCTTGTTATTTCCATGCCTACTAGGGTTTGTGAGTCTGCTAAAACAATGAAAGCATTGTCCCATGTAAATGAGAACTCAGAGGTTCTTTATAGACACTGGTTGCTTTAATTCTGTACACTAATGTTTTGCATTTTTTCGTCTCTCAGCAGGAGGATAGCCAGATATCAGAGTTGATGAATCATTTAAATTTACTCAGGAATTTCCTGTACAATAGTGAAGAGGTCAAGGTGAGAAAAATGAAAATATTACATTTTTATTTTCCAATGCCCATATGTAAGTGCAATGTAGCCAAATGTTCCTGACAAGTGATTGTTTAATCTTCTTTCAACAGTATAGATTGCATGATGTCATAGTGCAGCTAATTTATACAAATGTTTTGGTATGATCTGAGCACACCATATAGGTAAATATGTATTATGAATAATACTGTATATTCTCTCATTTCCACCACTAGATGGCAGCATATGAGTGTGGTTTCAGTAATGTTGTACATAAACTGTGGTCTTGGTGTACTGTAGAATCACAGTTAATGATGACTGTTTTAGCAGTCTTATGTACGTACACTGCTAGATGTGAACCAGGTAAGTAATATAATTATATCACAATGTCAAATGAATCTAATTTGGTCTTTTAGGATGGATAGCCTTTCAGTTTTGACAATTATTGTATTGTTTCTTCTTTCCAGCTTGTAGTTCGTTGGCATTCACATCTCTGAGTGCAGTGAGTGGCAGTGGACCGAGTAGCAATTCACTGTTACATAGTCTGGTGAAGTATGCCAACCGTGAAAATAGTAAACAGAAAAAAGGAGACTGCAGTGAGAATCAGAAATCAATATTTTCATTATTATCAACCCTGGCACTGTCTTCTGAATGTAGAGGAATTCTTTGGAAGGTGGGTATGGTATGAAATTTAAATAATTGCCAATTAGTGGATTTCACAGTAACATTTTGCTCCTGTGGCTATCAGTGTCTGTCATTCCAAAGAATCATCAAAAATCAAGCATTTCTGGCATTCCAGAACTGGATCTTGGCGTATATACATGGAGTTAGTTCAAACTTCGTACACACGTTGAACATTATGGGACCTTGATGCACATTATTTCATTTTTCAGATCCAATTTAAAATGGCCGATTGGCGACCATTTTGTTTTAATGCATGCAGTTCTAGTGCCATATCTCTGCCATGCTTTGACTGATTATAATCAAATTTTATTTATTCATTATACCGGTACATAGATATAAATTGGTTTGACTATCTGATTCAAAATAGCCAGATGGCAACCATTTTTGTGCTAAATAATGATCAAAAATCAAGCATTTCTGGCATTCCAGAACTGGATCTTGGCGTATATACATGGAGTTAGTTCAAACTTGGTACACACGTTGAACATATGGGACCTTGATGCACATTATTTCATTTTTCAGATCCAATTTAAAATGGCCGATTGGCGACCATTTTGTTTTAATGCATGCAGTTCTAGTGCCATATCTCTGCCATGCTTTGACTGATTATAATCAAATTTTATATATTCATTATACCGATACATAGATATAAATTGGTTTGACTATCTGATTCAAAATAGCCAGATGGCAACCATTTTTATGCTAAATAATGATCAAAAATCAAGCATTTATGGCTTTCCAGAACAGGATCTTGGCGTTTATGGATGGATTTTGTTGAAACTTGGTACATACATTAGAAATTATGGGTTCCTGATGCACGTCATTTTATTTTTCAGATCGTATTGTTAATGGCTGACTGGCAGCCATTTTTTTTAAATGAATGTGCTTCTAGAGCCATATCTCTGATATGTTTTATATGATTATGTTCAAATTTTATATATTTGTTAGTTCCCGTTTGGACGGTCGTTCGAAACGGGAAGTAGTGTTTTTGGTTCCGTGTGTGTGTGCGTGCGTGCGTATGTGTGTATGTGTGCGGTCATATTTCAGACATGCTTTGATGGATTCTTTTTAAATTTGGTATACATACATGTCATGAAAGTATACATATGCACATGAATTTGTTTTGTGATTAGATCAATTTTGAC